CTGGGGCTTCCCGGAGCATCCAAGTTGCCCTCGGCACCCCCTCGGCGCGGCCTCTTTGTCCCGACCCCCCTTTTCCTGGGATTTTGGGCTGTTTCCACCCCTTTCCTGGGAGTGGAAAGCGGATGCGAGGTCGGGATTAGCCCGAAATCCCGCCGTCCCCTCCCTGCGTGACGGCGGGAGCGGGGACCCTCCTCTTCCTGGGGGGGTCCCAACGCCTCCGACACCGACATTCCACGATCCTCCTCCAAAAATATCCCTCGGCATTCCCGGGCTTTGGAAATAAACCCACCCCGAGGCTCTTGGCGAGAAGGAGGAAAATGAAGGAAAATATAAACAGATACCAACCCCCCGGCGCTTCCCGCGAGCAAAACGGGTGGGAAAGTCCCGGCTCGGCGGCGGGATGGGGATTCCAGCAGGGAACGGAGCTCCTTGGGAAGAGGCAGCCGCTCCCCTCGTTAAGCCCCGGCGCTCATTAAGCTCATTAACGCCCCGGGGTTCGCTCCGGCAGGAAAAGCTCCGGGGAGGAGCGAGCCGGGGTTGCCAAGGGGTGAAGCGGCTTTAAACCCTCCCCCGGGATGTGGGAATGCGCCGGGACTCGGGAGGATTCCCAGCGCCGCCGCCTCTGGAGCAGCAACGTTCCCCCTCCCGGGTAATTCAGGATTTCCCCCCCCCGGTAGGGAAAGGGGACGGGAAATCCCCGATCCGAGCCCAAAACCTGCCCCCAGTGGGGGCCGGAGACATCCCTGCTCCCGAAACAAGGGATGGATCCCATCCCAAGCCACGCTCTGCTTTCCAGGGGGTCTCCCACCCTCTTTCCCAATCCCCCCGCCAGGGAAAGTGCCCTTTCTCCTCCGGATTACCGGGACCAGGCAGATGGGATTGAGGATTTACGTTGCCTTGGATCCCTGCAGCCAAGGGGAAGCTGCTTCAAATCCCCCCCTCGAGCACTTGTGTCCCAAAAACCCTCCTTTTCCCCCCATTTCCTCCCTCACCTCCCTCTCCCGGCGACCTTCCCAAGCGCAAACCACTGCTAAGCAACAGGTTCTGTTGTGCTTCCCCGGCCAATCCCGTTCCCATGTTCCCATTCCCGTTTCCTTGGCACCACCGAGGAGAGGGAATCACAGAAGCCCATCCCAGTCCCTCCGAGCAGCCCCGGGGGGAGGAAAAGACTCCACTGTGGCATCCAAAGCGTTTTATTGTTCACTCTGAGGCGTCCCAGTCTCACCTGGCTTTGCTGCCAGGCCCAGGGAAAAGCTCCGAAAGCAAAATGCCCGTCAGCCAGTTGGAAAAGGAAAATCCAAGGCACTGAATAAAAAAACAAGTGGGATTTCGTACGTGGAAAAGGCTTCATATAAATAGGTAAGAAAATATTTCTTTGTTTAGGGAGGAGTCTCAACCCCAGCTCTGTCCAAGAGACCGTTCTGTCCCTAACGAAAAGTCCATGGAAAGAAGTAAAAAATCCTGTCTTCAAAGGAGAGCAGGAATAAAGCAAACTTCCCAGAGTAAGAAATGAGGAATTTCAGCATGGAAACACCACGGCTGGAGCTTCCCAACATCCCAGGTAAGTGCTCAGGAAGAAAACCAAGGTGATATTCGGCATCTTGGCAGGCGTTGTGCGGAGCTGGGAGGTGGGATGTCTCCAGGAGGATGCTCCTTGCCCAGGGAAGGATTTATCCAGCCCAAAAACCCAAGGAGAAAGTCCCTGAGGAGACCCCAAGCACCCCCTTGTTATGGAGGAGAGGGGATGAACCGGATGGTTTTTCCCACGGGAGAAGGTCTCCCGTGATCCAGGGGACAATAACAGCCCCTGGATGCAGCAGGCACAGGCGTGTGGAGTGTTTTAAGGCACGTGGTTGGTTCTTTCCAGCACTTATTCCAGCATTTTGATGCCAGGCAGGATTTAAGGGCAGGAGTGAGGTGTCCTGAAGCTGCTTCTTTGGTCCCAAAGGAATCCCGAGGATCCCAGTACCCTTGTGGGCTCAGAACTGGACCCAGTTCCCCTGAGTCTGGTTAGGAGTTGACCTGGAGAGAGGGAAAACCAGGGAAAAAAGGGGATTTAGACCTGGAAGGGGTATCCAGGCAGCAAATGGGTCCTCCAGGATCACCCCAGAATTATCCTGGAGCAAGAAGTGCCCATAGACTTGAACTCAGGGAATCTGCACTCCACAGAACCACGGAATGTCCTGAGCTGGAAGGGCCCCCAAGGATCACCCAGTCCAAGCCCTGGCCCTGCCCAGGACACCCCAAAATCCCATCCTGTCCCTGGGAGCATTGTCCAAACGCTCCCGGAGCTCTGGCAGAGCTGCTTTTGAATCCCGAAGTTGGGACTGGGTGGAGCAGTGCCCACACCCCAGCGGGGTTTTCCAGCAAAACCAGCAGGATTTGGGGCACCCCCATCCCACCCAAAGCCCCTCCAGGCTCACCCCGAAGCTTTGGCAAAGTCTCCCCAGGCGTCGGCAGCGGGAGCAGCGGGAGCAGAGGGCTGAGGCCAGGACAGCACCGAGTCTGTGGGCAGAGAGAACACAAACACCAGGGGTGATTTCCTGCCCTTGTTCCCGCATTCCCCCAGCTCCAAAGGATTCCATGGAGCCTGAAGCTCTGCCGTGCCCAGACCTGTGATGGGCGTTCCCGGGAGCCGGGCGGGGCCGGGCAGGGAGGGCGGGCGCTCTCCACAGGATTTCCCCCCGGGAGGCGGTGGGAGCAAAGTCAGGCCCCCGGGCCCTGCAGGACGTGGTCTGGTGTTCCCTGTGGCTCCTTCCTTTTTCTTCATGTTCTGAAAGAAGAGTGGGAATTTTGGGTGGGATCACATTCAACGCCAGAGCTGGGGAGCAAATCCCACAAAGCCAAAGGGGTTTATTCTGGGGATAAAATCCTGCGGTGCTGGGATATCCCACTGCTGGTGCATCCAAAGGGGTCACACCAAGGGTGGGTTTTTTTGTCCAAAAATCCCACAGACCCGGTTCTGGAACCAGGAATTGTAACAACCCCCCACAAATCCCTGCAGGCAGCGTTATCCCAATGGGCTCTGCTCCAGCATTCCTCCTGCATGAGGATTCTGGGGAGAAGCTGCTGCTTTCTTGGGCCACCCGAGGTTGGAATTAGCTGGAAAAGCCCCTCACAGCGATGTTGAGTTTGATGGTTTGTCCTTCCTTGAATCCCAGATCCAGTTTGGGTCCCTGATCCAGGTCCTGCCGGGCCAGCTCGCTCTGCTGCCTCACCCACCTGCGGGAATTAAATCCATGGAAAAGGAGACGTCACCAGGCTCCCCCAGACAAATCCTGCTCAGGATCATCCCCCGGGCCCGGCAGCAGCTCCTTAAAGGCTTCGGACGTGACCCGAGACCTCACCTGCCGGGGCACTGCAGGGACAATTCCCACGGATCCTCCAGCCATCCCTCCCCAAACCCCACCATTCCCAGCAGCTGGAACAGCATCCCAGTCCCTCAGGGGCACCCCCTTACAGGTGGCATGTGAAGGAGGGAAATAAATCAGGGAATTTGCCCCCTTTGGGGCTCGGAAGCCCAGTTTGGGACACGGCTGATACAGAGGGCAGGGATACAAGAGTTCCCAGCTCTTCCCACCACTTCTCCAACATTCCTGGGGGATACCTGCCAAAACTGGGGCTGAGGAGCCGGGAAAGGCACAGACTCACTTGAAATGGTCCTGCAGGGCCACGTTGAAGTCAAAGGCATCCCCTCGGTCCGCGAAGCCGACCCCGATGAACGCCCGGCGGCCTGGAACGGGGAGGGATAGGGGCTGCAATGCACAGCAGCAGCAGAGGAGGAGGGATGGGATAGTCCATCCCACACATCCTCGTGCCTGCTGCCAGCTCCAGTGAGAGCTGGGACTGTGGAGCCTGAGCCATGGCACTGGAGATCACGGAATCACAGAATCCCAGGGTGCTTTGGGTTGGAAAGGACCTTAAGGATCATCCCATTCCACCCCCTGCCATGGCAGGGACACCTCCCACTA